TTGGGACCAGTTATCCTTTCTTCTTGCCTATTTCTTCCTTTTGGAATGGAAATGTCTATCCTATGCCTGTTCTATCAGTGTGTCTTGAAACTAGATAACTTGTGTGACTTCACAAGCTCACAGCTGGAAGAGACTCTGCCTCAGGATGAATTGTGCCTTGAGTCTTATCCATATCTGATTTAGATAAGACTTTGGGCTTTTGAGTTGGTGCTGAAATGAGTCAAGACTTTTGGGACTATTGGGATGGAATGAATGTATTTTGCATTGCGAGAAGGACATGAATTTGGGGGGCCAAGGGTGAATGCTNTTTGGAACTGGGTAATGGGTAGAGGCTGGGAGAATTTGGAGGAGCAGGTTAGAAAAAGCCTAGACTGCTGTGAATGCAGCATCCAGGGCAATTCTGGTGAGGGCTCAGAAAAAGACAAGATCTGTAGGGAGGGCCTAAATCATCTTAGGGATTACTTATGTGGTCATGATCAGAATGTTGGTAGAAATATGGACAGTACGGTCTCATCAGGCCATTCTGATGAGGTCTCAGATGTAAGTGAGCAATAAAATATTGAAAACTGGAGTAAAGACCATCCTTGTTATACAGTTGCAAAAAAGCTCCTGGCTTTGTAAATAACAAAAAAGCATGTTCAGGAGAGAATGCTAAGTGGCATTTGCTAAACCGATTAATATGGATAGAAGGAAGCCAGGTTCTATTTATCAAGACAATGGGAGAAAGACCCCAAAGGCATTTTAAAGATCTTTGAGGCAAGCTAAGACCCTGAGGGCAAGGTTTCCAGAGATCCTCTGGGACCTCAGCATTCACTGCTCAGGGCTCCTTGGTACTCTGCTCCCCAAATTCTGGTGCAGTGCCCCTTGGCTGCCCCAGCTGTGGCTCAATCCAACACTCTGGAAGGTACAAGTTCTAAAACTTGGCAGCATCCATGTGATGCTAATTCTGCAGGTATACAGAAGGCAAGAGCTGTGGGGCTACATTGGCCTCCAGCTAGATTTCAAAGGATGTCACAGACAGCCTGGGGGCCCAGGCAGAAACTTGTCACAGGGCAGAGCCACTGCACACAGCCCCCACTTAGGGCGATGCTCAGCGGAGCCATAGGAGAGGGGCAGCGCCTGTGACTCCAGAACTGTAGGGCCACCAGCACATAACTCCAGCCTGGCAAAGCTGCAGGCATTAGACTCAAAGCCATGAGAGATGCCAGGTGGACTAAGCCCAGCAAAGCCATGCGGGTGGGGCTGCCTGAGGCCCTTAGGGCTCCACCCCTGCCCCAGTGTGCCCAGGATGAGGGACATGGAGTCAAAGGAGATTATTCTCCAGCTTTAAGACTTAATGTTGTTTTCTCTG